AGTGTCGTATTATGAATTGAAAATTGTATTACGGTTTTTAAATATTTGGTAAAAAATAATTTTGTTTTTTTTTATATACACAAAATGAATGAATTGAATAATTTGTAATATTTTTGAGGTACCGATACACACAAATATGAGTCCAAGGACCTGCTAGTCCTTTTGAGGACTTGATAATCGCGATATCTCGAATAGATTCCCTGCTAAAATACGGCTACAGATGATGTAATAATTATTAAAGTTTCGTTATAATTTACGCTCTAATAATTATTTAACAAATTAATAATACTAAAAAAAATGAAATATATTAATCTGTTATTAAATATTTCAGCTTTTTTTTTATTTGTCTTTTTTTTCCGTCCTGTGGACAATAACAGGACGTTTTTATTACATCCGTCGTGGGATTCACAATGGGTGCGACCGAGTAATGAGAGATGGGACCCAACGTATCCGGGAAAACCGCCTATGAAAAATTTCTGGGTAGTTGCTTGCCCGATTATTACAGTCAGTGGCGCATTATAGCTTTATGGGGCCCGGGAAAATTTTAATTAGGGGGCCCCATGTACTATACAGTATTTTCGGGGAAATATTTGGAGATGGTATTTTCTTATAAAAGATTTGTTTGGGCTCTCTGCTGGTGGGGGTCCTAAGAAATTTATTGCCCTTTTGTCCATAGGATAACGCTCCACTGATTACAGTTTAAATAAATAAACTATAATTATAGTTTTAAAAAGCACGTTGTAATGAAGTACCTTAATTTTTCGTTACAAGGATAAAATTATTCAGGTAAACCGCTGCATTTCCGGCAAGTGATGGCCCGGCGCTTCCTATAATCTGGACAAAATTACGAAAGAAAACTTAAAATTCTTGCGACCACTAGACTAGTTTACTAGATGACTAGATGGTTTTACTAGATGGTTTTACACCCTACTTGTTGATATCATATGTCAATGTTTTGATATATGGCTTCTAAGAAATAAGAGTAAATTACCCCGACTGAAATTACGTTTTGATACCCCGACTGGGGTATCAAACGTAATTTACATTTAGTACTTATTTAATTGAAGTTTCTAGCTTACTTTCTTGCAAGTATATTAAATAGAAAGAGTGTCGTATTATGAATTGAAAATTGTATTACGGTTTTTAAATATTTGGTAAAAAATAATTTTGTTTTTTTTTTTTATATACACAAAATGAATGAATTGAATAATTTATAATATTTTTGAGGTATCGATACACACAAATATGAGTCCAAGGACCTGCTAGTCCTTTTGAGGACTTGATAATCGCAATATCTCGAATAGATTCCCTGCTAAAATACGGCTACAGATGATGTAATAATTATTAAAGTTTCGTTATAATTTACGCTCTAATAATTATTTAACAAATTAATAATACTAAAAAAATGAAATATATTAATCTGTCATGTTTAGTATTAAATTATATATTGTAATCATCTGGTTTTTAATTAAATAAATTAAAACTTTTTTAAATATTCCGGTTTTAAGTATTCATATTTTTAGAATTATATTTATTTTATTGATCTAATCATTTAATGATACAATTAAACATTTAATTACGTTTATACTTCTTAGAAATCAGGTATTAAGTCCGTTTCAAATCTCTTATTTCGAGCGAATGTAAATAAATCGTTAAAAAAGAAGAAAGAAGATTAAAAAAATCAGATTTATATGTTGATTTTTATCTTAATATATATTACAGTGTCTTAATTTTATGATTTGTAAATAATATTATTTAGTACTGTTTATATATGAAACATACGATTGTGTTATTTACTCATCATTAAAATCGTAAATCATTTTCCAAATACTAAGTCACTAATAAACTTAGTAAAAATTATTATTTATATTTAATTAATAATTCTATAAAAATTTGAGGAGTAAAAGTGAAAATATATACGAGATAAGTTTCATTTTTTAGAATAATCGATTCATTTAGTTCTCGATGTCTATGACAGTCACGTGGTCGATGTAGCTGTTGGTTGTATATTTCTTAGATAATCCGGATTTCGCGGAGTGAGAACTGAGAAGAAGTTTTGGGTCCGAATGGTCTAAATGGAGTTCGACTGCACTAATTACGGTTTGAGATCGTTTGTACCGGCGACAGATTTTCAAGCCGAAGTAGGAGATCTGATAGAAATTGATCGTACATTATATTCTGACTGGTGTTTGTATGTTGGAGACGGCAACGTGGTCACGTTGACTGGACAAGACATTCCGACAAAACATGTCACCGTCAAGTTAGCTTCCCTGGTCGACGTTGCTGGAGTCAGTGGAGTCAGAATAAACAATAAAGAAGTGCCAGCCAAAGAAAAATCTCTTCCACCTCTTCCAGTCGATGAGGTATTACAGAGAGCATTGGCTGTGATCGGGACTAAAGTCAATTATAACTTTTTAACCAAAAACTGTGAACACTATGTAACTGAATGGAAATATGGCCGAGGATGGAGTGATCAGGTAAAATAAATATTATCGTTTCGATTTATTTTTAATATCTTTTTTATAATTTACGTGCAAGAATTATGTCAGCTCTTAATATAAATCCTCTTAATAATTACATTAAATTAATTGCACGATGATAATGATGGTGTGACTAGCGGAATACGTGAATTTCACTCTTGGTAAATTGATGTGGTTAGAGAAATTGATTAATAAAAAAAACAATTTTTTAATTATTTTAATTGAAAAGAATGAATAAACAAATAGATGACAATTAAGTAAAAAAAAAATATATATATAGAATTTTATAAGGTATCCAAACAAAAGGAATTGTGCATATATTTTATTGGTATATCTAAGGTAAAACTGAGATTAAATGCAGTAAAATGTTGAAAAATTGAGCATGTTCTTCGTAATCCATCGGCATTGCTTGCAATTTTTTCTTAAACTTGCTCCATCTCATTCTTATTGTGATATGCAAGAAAGATATTTTATATCTAAAAATTTGTGAAAGTATACAATATATATGTCAATTATTTAAGCCATCTAAATAAATTAAAAAATAATAATGAGAATTTCTAATTAATAATTATATATACAGTAAAAGCAATTTTAACTTTCAGCTGTTGAGTATAATAATTTTTAATTATAGATATTACAATAAATTGACAAGCATCTTTTATTATGATATATTGGTAGAAATGTTTTATATTAATAAGTCTTTTTCATATTATTGATTTTATTGTGATTTATTAAAACTTTGCATGGTATAGCTCATTTCGTGCACAAAATTAGTTGAAATTTTTAATCTTTATTGAATACTCAAGAACTATAGTAAACATGTTTTTATATATTAATGGCTAAGAAGATGAATTTTAGCAAAAATAAAAGATGTCAAGGGCTATTTTGATCCATATATCAGTTTGTTTAACAATTAACCTTATATATTTTGGTGTCAGGGTAACTCTTGTTTTTCTTTTACGAAAAGAAAACATTAAGTATATTGCATTATTGTAAGCCCAATTACAACAAACAAAGCTGAGATAAATAAAATATAATCTACAATTTATTTAGTAGGGTCTATACTAATGATAAAAAAGGTGATAAAATAATTTCTAAGGATTCTCATTATAAGGATTCTTTTTAAGTTATAATTTGCATTGGTGAAATATTTCTGTATGTAAATAATTCTAACATTATGTGGTTGTGCTAATTACAGGAATAATTTTATTACATTATTGAGGACATTAGATAAGATTTTGCTTTTTTTAATGTACTAATTACTGTTAATAATTCCCAGAAAGTGCTTTCTAAAAAAATAAATAGAAAAATAAAATTCACAACATGCATTATTATTAAACTATTTTTTTTTTATTGATATGGATCCAATATTACATTATTATTATTAGAGTATTTAGCTATAAAATAACTAAACTATCATTTGCCTAGTTACTTTTCCAAGGTCAAAAGTATAGAAAATAAAGATAAAAGTTATTATGGATTGTCAATGTCATTGAAATTCAATAATTATTTGAAATAATTTTATAAATGCAATGCAATGAACAAATACAAATATCAGAATTGCACAAAAACGTGTTAAAATATATTAATATAATATCTAATATTGATGAGCAAAATTAATGAATATCTGAAGTTAAGAAAATAACAATATTATAATAATATAATAAATAAAAGAATAAATAAGTAAAAGAAATACTTTATTTTGTATGAGAGAAATATAAAATCAAAGAAATGTCAGTTTGAAAAGTAATATTTTTTAAATGATTTTATTATTTTTATAATAATTTGCTTAAAAAATTTAAATTATTGTTAAAAAACATGTAATTAAGTAAGAATTCTATATTAAAATAATAATAAAATTTAATGTATTGAGCTGACAATATAATTAAATACTTGAATGTGTTTAAAATGTATATTATAAATTATATGCATAATTACTATAGCTTATAGAAATGCTATCATCATTTACAATATTTTAAAAACTTTTTTAAAATATTGCATGAGGGATAAATAGATTTTGTATCTGATTAATATTGCATGACAATCGCAAATCGTTTAGTTCTCCGAAAGATCAATAAACTTCAGTTATTTTTGAACAAAGAAATATTCTGGATGATAATCATATACTGTCATTTTTTTATTTAATTGTAAAAATTACTTGCATAGTTAAACTTATTAAACTGTCTTAAATTAAATATTACAAATTTGAGGATGATAAAAAATAATTAACTTTCAACCATCTAGCCTATATTGTAATTTGTGTTTGAAATTTTATATTTAAATTTTTATGTTGCAAAAAATCAATATTGCAATCTGTTTGTTATAGAAAATTGTAAATCATATCTTTGATTACTTTTTATGCTTTTAGATTTATATATCAAATTTATATTGATTTGATAATATATTAGCATATTGTTTGAATAATTCTAATCAATAAAAAAAATTGATATAAATTTTTTTCTAGCACTAGAATGCTGAATGAAGATGGAAGATCCTTATCTAAATTTTTTAATATTATTTTGCTACTAATGTTGTGCACTTTATTCCAGTAATGGTTTTGTTTATATCTGGAGCTTTGGAAATGATATTCAAAATAAAAACTGGACTTCTGAAGGAAAGATTGTTTTGTAACCATAAACAACTTTAATATCATTTAAAAATTAATATCACTTCACGCATATGTCATTTAAATATTACATAGCTAGAGAATATAAAATAAGAATACACATTTAGCATTGGATTTTTAAGATGGCAGATGTCATTAAAAATACTTGGTAAAGATACTTATAGAAAATAAATAGATTGAACAGTATTTATTTATTATGTCTTTTAACATTGAAATGCAGCTTGTCATTGTCTTTACAGTAATAATTTGTGTAGATAATGCAAAATAGCTACTCCTCTCTCTCACTTCTCTTTCTTCTGAATATTTAAAATAATTTTTCTTTTAGTTATTAATGCTGTATACTTTAACTTGATACTTTAATTAAATTTAATATTTTTATTAATAAATATTAAATGTTGTTAATAAATTGTTGAATATTTATTAATAATTACTCATTTTCCTCAAATTTTATAATATTAAATTTTTTTTAAATTTTAAAACAGAAATATTTATAGTTTTTGAGATTTATTTATAATTATTTTTTAATATATGCTTAAAATTGTTATTAATTATTAAAAAATTAATATTTTTGGAGAATTTAATTCCTAAATGATTTTTTTAATATAGAAAATTACATAGGCATGATACTTTTTTCATATAAAATTAGTAAGGTTATAAATTATGGACACAATGCATTAACCTAATTTTTAAACTAAATTCTATTCTGCTGCTTCTTTTCCCACACTTTCTTAACTAGTACAGCTTTATTGCTTTAATTCTATTTGTAATTCTCATCGTATAATCTTGACATAATAATTCCTTTTTACTTGATGTCTTTCTGTCATTTTTCCCCCAATAAAATTGATTTTCTATTCTTATATATAAGATGTATGTAATTATTATTAAAAACATTTTTTTTTTTAATCTAATTTAATTTGCATTCTCGTTCAATCATTTTCTTTAAACATATTCAACTAATGCATCTTTCTGTTTTTACATGTACATCTCAAATTTTATATTATGTACTACTTCAAATTCTTGCTGTAACTATTCTTTATATTTATAACTAATTCTTTACATTTAGAATAAATATTAAAATATATTGAGAAGATTAATAAAATATGTTATACTGAAAGTTATCTAAATTTATATTGTGATGATCTCACAATATTTTTTACATATTTTACTAATTTTCTTGAAGGTTATTATTTTAAAAATATTACAGTGAAATATTGAGAAATAGCAACTTTTTAAATTAAATTAAATAACCATATTTCTTGATTTTTGATTAAGCACTAGTACAGCCATAATTATGACCACTTCAAAGATGAATTATATGTGATGATTAGATATAAAATTATTTTAGTTTTTGTTACAGTAAAAAAAAATTTATATGAACTTGAATATTTATATTTTGAATGAAGATATTGTAATGCAATTTCATGTAAATTATATCCATAAGCTGCATTTAAATAAAATTGTATATTCATATGTAAGATACGAATTTATTATAAATTTTTTTTATATTCTATAAATATAAATGATATATTTAAATTAGTTAATATTGATATAGATCAGTAGTTCCCAAAGTGGTTCCTACTGACCCCCAGGAGTCCTTGGTACCACTTTGGGGGTCTGTGGCAAATAAAAATTAATTTGAGGGTGTGTAAACAATGTCAGGGGGTCTGCAAAAAGTTTAATATAAAGTAAAATAATTGTCACCCATTTTCATTATTAGGATAGTTAAAAATAAATAGCAATAAATAAATTGGTAGCCATTTTTACATTGTGAGTAAAATATTAGTATATAGATACATAAAATACAAGTAATGACAAGTATTGCATGGTGAGAGTTGAGCTGACCGCGGCCGTCTATCTATGCAGATTTGAACATGAATGGAATCTCGCCGCTACATACAATAACTTATCTAAAATATGACACTAGACGAGTTGTACATCTAATCAACAATTTAATTCTGTTTTGTGTGTGATGTGAAGTGCACCAACAAATTTCTCTATACAGCTTGGCAAGGCAACTTTGCCAGGAAACGAAGCATTACTTTTAGCTTATATAAGATTTGTAAAAAGATGAGAATATTTTCCAAGAATTGTTATTTACCAAATGTTTGGAAACTGATACAAAAGGTGAAACAATATTTAATGAATTAAAAACATTTCTCGATGCAAAAGATATATCCTTGATTAATATCCTCTCTGTTGCTACTGATGGTGCTCTGGCAATGATAGGACAACACTGAGGCTTTCTGGCATACTTGAAACAAGCTAAACCGAATATATTTTCTGTATATTGTGTTATTCACTAACACCATTTAGTCGCCAAAAGCCTTAGTGAATGCTTGCATGGCTCACTGGACTATGTCATTCAGGCAGTTAATAGAATCAAAAGGAATGCCTTAAATGAAAGATTATTTGCTCAACTTTGTTTAGAATATTATGAAGATTATAATCGTTTACTACTTAACACGGAAGTTCGTTGGTTATCTAAAGGTGCATGTTTGGATCGATTTCATTCACTCTTTGATTCAG